ATGGAACATATAGATGTGAGGTTACTTGCTGTTGCTAGTGTTCGTTTAACACTGTAAAGCTAATTTTTTCCAGATGTTTTGCCTTTATTTTTATTGACTTCCACATCGACTTTGCCTTCACCTTTCATTTATTGCTTTTTCATTTAATTGGATTTTTCTTCAGCCTCTTCTTTCATGGTTCCTTATTTCTCTCTCATTTTCATTCTTTCAAGTTTTCTTCTTTCCGCTTTCACTGATTTCCCTAACTTATATTTATTTCCCGCCTTTGTTAATTTTTTTTTTTTTTTTTTTGTGGGGGGTTGGGTGGAAAGACAATTTATTTGTCTATCAGTACAACTCGCCTTTTCTTTTTCGTTCTCTTTGCTTCTTTTTCATTTTTTTCTTTTCTTTCTTTTACCTTCTCTCTGTTTTTCCTTACCTTCCTTTCTCCTTTCTTCGTTTCTTTCTTTCTTTTTTCCTTTCTTTCTTTCTTTCTTTTTTTCTTTCTCTTTCTTTCTTTCTTTCTTTCTATCTCCCTTCTCTGTATGGTTTAAATATTTTTTCTTTCTTTTTCTTTACCGTCTGTTTTCTTCTTTTTCTATTCCTTCCTTCCTTCCTTCCTTCCTTCCTTCCTTCCTTCCTTCCTACTAATAATTCTCGTTTACTTTCTTTTTCCTTTCCTTCTGTTTTGTTATTCTTCCTTACCTTCTTTCTTTCTTTCTTTCTTTCTTTCTTTCTTTCTTTCCTGTATGATTTTTATGGTTTTTTCTTTCTTTTTCTTTACCTTCTGTCTTCTTTTTCCTTTCCTTCTTTCCTCCCTCCCTTTCTTAATACTAATAATTCTCGTTTACTTTCTTTTTCTTTCTTTCTTTCTTTCTTTCTTTCTTTCTTTCTTTCTTTCTTTCTTTCTTGTACGATTTTCATGTTTTTTCTTTCTTTTTCTTTACCTTTTGTCTTCTTTTTCCTTCCTTCCTTCCTTCCTTCCTTCCTTCCTTCCTTCCTTCCTTCCTTCATACTACTAATTCTTCTTTCTTTCTTTCTTTATTTCTTAATGATTTTTATGATTTTTATCTTTTCCTTTCCTTCTTTTTTCTTTATTCTTCATTCTTTCTTTCTTTCTTTCTTTCTTTCTTTCTTTCTTTAACACTACTATTTTTCCTTCCAACTGCTTCTCTTCTACTGTAAATCTTTCTTCTTTTTTACGCTCTATTCCTTGTGGACGTGGATGGTTATGGTTCTCCGCAACTTCCTCTCATTTGTTTCTGTAACTGTTAAACTTTTACCATCCCTCTTTTCCCCTGTTCCATTTACAAAAAACTTGTTAAATAGGTTACATGTCCCACACTTGCTTCTCTGATTGTGATTATGTTCTGTGTGTTTCAAATTTTCCAAGTCGGCTTTTTTTTTCTTTTTCACATACGCCGACGGATTTCCACGCCACATTCCCTTTCGTCTGTTAATACCGTACGTAGACAGTTAAAATTCTCTCTCTCCCCTCGATTTTGTCGTCCCCAACATGTAGTTTACCTCTTGGGCTACATATTTTGCTTACTACTATGAGTTCTGTGTTCTTATAATACATAGTTAGTTCTTTCTTCTTGTTTTTATTTTCTACTTGCTTAAGAGGTTACCAGTGACCTTTCTGAGTCTGCCTTTCACACAGTCTCAACCATGTACTATTTTTCTTTTTTAATCACATTACCCCATGCAAGGCAGTAAAGCCAATAAGACTCAACGGGGTTACTGAGTGTGAAAGAATAAGAAACAAAGATAAACATTATTAAAGAGCGAGGACAATAGAGGATTAATTAAGAAGACGGTAGATAACGATTGGCATAGCATTAACATTTCTGAAAATCAAATTTGGCTGGAAAGCATGGAGCCAGAAGAGCGTTCCACAAGTGAGAAGTGCGATAGAAGAAACGGCTAGCATAGAACTTACAGTTACAGCTAGACAATTCAACTGTAAATTGCCGAGACCTTTCCGTCAATTCATAACGTCAAGGTCCCATAGGGAAGAGTCTATCCTAACAGTTAACATGAATGCATTTATAGAAAAGGCATAGGGAAGCTTACATTATGGCGACGGGAAAGTGACTGAAGCCGAGATGCCTGGCCAGAACTAATAATATTGATGTTTCTACATTGGATTTTTATCTCTAAATATACAGCAGGAGAAGGACATGCCCGCCAAAAGTAAATCTTTTTTACCAGACTATCCAGATAATTATATTTATGTAGTTGCTTCGTGTTGACGTCCCCAACATGTAGTTTACCCCTTGGGCTACCTATTTTGTTGACTACCATGCGTTCTGTGTTCTTATAATTAATAGTTAGTCCTTTCTTCTTGCTTTTGTTTAATACCTTCTCTAAGAGTTTTCCAGTTGCCTTTCTGAGTCTGCCATTTGCACAGATTCGTACGTCTGTCCAATTTTGTTAAGAATACGTCCGCCGAAAACAAATCTCGTTATCCCACCACACAGATAATTAGATTTGTGTATCTGCTGGATTTTGAAGTCCCCTAATGCGTATCTCACAATTTGAGGTGCTTCTTTTTCTGACAACCTTCTTACTTCCCCTTATCTACATTTATTAATAATTCTTTCAGTTACTTTTCAGAGTCTGTAATTAAGAGAGGGTAACCGGTGTATTTTATGTTGTTAAGGGTATGCCCACAGATAATAATCCCTGGTAGGATTTCTAGTTCAAATAGGATAATCTCGTGGTCTATACATTTGGGGAGAGAAACCTATATTTGTCGTACTTCTCTTTCTAATGATGCATATTCACTGAACTATTCTTTAACCGTTTGCAAGCTGTTTGGTCCCTTTACAGTTTCTTATCTTTACTCAATACACGATTTTTCCTTTATTAGGATACATTTTTTCTTGGATTTCTACACTTTCTTCTACTACAATATTTATCTTTTTTTTGTACTGTGTCCCTTCAGAACGTGTGTAGCGTAGAAATGTCAGTCGATATTTTGTTAAATTCAGACATTTATCGCCTTGATGATTAGTGAATTGAACCTCATAAAAATCATGGCTAATGTCCCTGACAAAGAAGGTCGCTGAATAAAGCCAGATCTTGATAAATTACATTTTGAGACAAAGATGACAAAACAAAGAACATTTACTCTATAAGACAATACTCTATAAGACAGTGGTAACTACCAGCGGAAAACAGACTAAAATCAGCGAGGAAAAGAAAGATAGTTGCAAATGAAAACCAAGATCAGCCAGGAGAGTTTCCAATGCTGAGACTCTGCAAAGACTTCGGGACTCTATAATTCTTGAACGATATTGAGGAGGGAGAACAATAAAAGAACAGGAACACAGAAGATAAGAATCGTCAGTCTAGTTAAATTTTCAAAGATTAAAGTAGACAGAAAAACCGGAAGAGAGTTCCATAGGCGAAAAGTGCGAGAGAAGAAACTCTTCAAATCAAAATTACGGTTACATCTCGCCATTTTAACTGTTAACTGACGAGCCTCTGTCGCCAATGTAATATCACGCTTAAATTAATAAAATCTAGGTACTATAGAGGAAAGTTCATCACAAGAATGAACATATAAATCTTTATAGAAAAGGCGCAGAGAAGCTATGTTAGGAGGGTGGAAAAATGGCTGAATCCGAGATGCCAGGTCAGGATCAATAACATTGCAGATACTTCTCTGTATTTTATCAAGAATTTCTAAACACCCTGCCATATATATATATATATATATATATATATATATATATATATATATATATATGTGTGTGTGTGTGTGTGTGTGTTTTGTGTGTGTGTGTGTGTGTGCAAAGACCAAGGCAAAGGCAGATCGAAATCGCCCCTCAGCGATCCGAAAGGTAAGACACGCCTGTTAGACTGTTCACCTTTCTACACCTCGCTTCATCCCCCCCCCCTCGTTCGGAAGTTACAGTCAGAATAAAATTTACCTACTACTACAATAGCCCCATTGCCTTATTTCGTGGGTGACGTTCTGGAAAAACCTGATTTTTTAAACACCAAGCGTTTGACTGAAAGAAGCTACCCCCTTGGAACGAACCTGATGTCTGGCCTGAGCTACAATGCTTACACATTGAACGATAATAGCTCTAATTATTTTCCTACACTTTTTAACTCTTAGTAAAGTTTGGCTTTTTGCTATCTCTCCTAATCCTATTCTGCCAAACATTTACACAAACTCCTTAGATCATGCGTTGCTTTCCTCTGTCCCCCTTTTGCCGTCAATATATCCTGTGAGTGTCGATTTTTCCAAGTCTTCTTTCCTCATTATGTGGCCTAGAATTTTCTACTGCTTTTTTTCTGGTGTTAAGTGCGTGTTTTTTTATTTACATTGCTCACGTGTTCATTTCAGAAAGAAAGAAAAAAAAATGAAAGCATGATGTTTTGTCATAAATATACATTAGTCGATATCATATGTCATATATCGATATTAGTCGATGTCACATGTCACATATTGATATTAGTTAATATCACTTGTCACATATCGATATTAGTCAATATCACTTGTTACATATCGATATTAGTCGATATCACATGTCACATCGATATTAGTCGATATCACATGTCACATTGATATTAGTTGATGTCACATATCGATATTAGTCGATGTCATATGTCACAAATTGGTATGTCAATATCACTTGTCGATATTAATCGATGTCATATGTCACAAATTGGTATGTCAATATCACTTGTCACATATCGATATTAGTCGATATCACGTGTCACATCGATATTTGTCGATATCACATGTCACATCGATATTAGTCGATATCACATGTCGCTTATTGATATTAGTCAATATCACATGTCACATATCGATATTAGCCAATGTCACATGTCACATATTGATATTAATCGATACCACTTGTCACATATCGATATTAGTCGATATCGCATGGCACATCGATTAGTGGATATGACATCACATTTTGATATTAGTCGATATTATTTGTCACATATTGATATTAGTCGATATCACATGTCATTTATCGATATTAGTCGGTATCACATGTCACATATTGATATTAGTCGATATTCCACTTTTTCGCTTTCTCAGTCAAAAGGTCCCAGCATGAAAGGTTAAGTAAAACAAAGGAAGATTTAAAATATCAATTTATATTTTTAAATTCAATTTTTCTGATATCAGCTATGACATTTTGAGACACTTCGAATCTTAATAAGGAGGGAGATGGTTTAGTTATTATTTATTCCCTTAAAGCAATATCGCGTTTGAAAGTTAAGCAACGTCGCTCCTGGTCAGTACCCAGATGGGCGACTGCTTGGGAATAATATGTTCTGTAAGCTTGGATTTTAATTTTTAATAGATAATGGATCAGAATTTTTAATCGAAGAGCCGAGTTCCAATTCTAGTTCGTTATATTCACTTAGGAATAGGTTGTATCCACCTCTCCCCCCAGCTATGGGTTTCTTAGTAAGATTTCTATCACTACGTTCAAAAACGTCACTCAGAAAGATTTGAAGAAACAAGTCAGTCGTCCATATTTTTCAGTATAGACTTCTTGATATCAATGCATTTAGTCCAACGATGTTTAAAGATTGCAATCCCATCACAGAAGAAGGTGGGGTCCCCTGATCCTTCAGAAACTCCTTCACGGCATAAAATTCTGCCCACGCAGGTGGGAAGTGACTTTAGGAAACAGGAAGAAGTCAGATTGAACTACGTCTGGTGAGTAAGGCGGATGGGATAGCAATTCAAGGTCACAGTTGGCTGATTCAGATACTGCAACCTGAGCAATGTAAACGGACGCGTTATCCTGGAGCAAAAGCACACCTTCCCTCAGCTAGTCACTGGGTTTCGATTTGCTTGCTTCCTTCAGTTGTTTTAATTCTGGCACATAGTACTGTCCATTAATAGTTTTTTTTTCTCCCCATTTCCAGACAGTCTATCATGACTATGCCTTCAGAATAAGAAAAAAAAAAAAAAAAAAAAAACGAACAGAACTTGCTTGAACTTCTTCAGGGTTGGAGAACCAGAATATTTTCACTGTTTGCTTTGAATCTTTAATTCAGTGTCGAAGTGAAGCCAGGTTTCATTATCTGACCGTGGAAACGAGTCAGAAATGTCCTGGAAATTTCACGAACGGTGGCGTAATGGATAGCGGCTTGAACTGAGGAATCGGAGAGCCGAGTTCGAATTCCAGTCAAATCCATTACATTCACTTACGTGCTAACACCCTTGGGAAAGATGTGAATCCTCTTTCTTCTCCCTCCAGCTATGGGTAAAATAGCAGGACAGACTGGGTTCTATAGCCTTTGATGGCAACTGGTCTAGGAGAAGGAAAACTCTGAATTCAATCCTGCTGTTAGAGGAGGGTGAATTGAGTCTCTCTGAGCTTTGGTTGGCAATCCATTTAGTGATGGTGTCACGATAAAACCACCCTTGATAGCCCTAGCGAAGCATCAAGAATTCAGCTATTTGACAAGATTATGAACTACACCAATCAAAGTATTGGTGAGTTCAATCTCGGCTGAGGCCGCAAGATGATAATGCTGTTAGCATTCTTGGGACCTATCTTGTAGACAGCTTCATCATCCCATGATCTCAGTCAAAACAGTATGGACAGAATAAGAAGCCAGGTTTCATCTTGACTTACTAATCTGCGGTGGAAATTATCAATGTCAGCCTGAAAACGAGTCAGAAGTGTGCTGGAAATTTCACCCCTTTTAACTTCCTCTGGTGTTAGCATTCTTGGGACCCATCTTGTAGACAGCTTAATCATCCAGAGATGTCAGTTGAAACAATATGAACCGAACCAGAACTAATGCCTATGTACTTAGATATCTGCTGAACAGTTAAACGTCTTGTCATCCAAAGTCATACAGTGAATGGTATCAACTTCATTGAGGTTTTTGGACGACCGAACCGAGTGTTATCTTCCGTGATGTCCCTGCCTCGCTTGAATTTACTGTTGTATAAAAAAGGGACTCCTCAATAAGTGTCTGTGACATCTCCTCATATATTTCCTTGGATGTCATAGCTTTCTTTTGCAAATACTCTATGACTGCTTAGGCCTCTGTTTTTTCCATTTTCAGATTTGTCGCAGAACTCTCACCTTTGTATGGGCGTCACCTGCAGAGAAATTAAGACTGAAATTTATATTAGTTTTTTTCTAATTTTATAAGAAGCGACAATATATTAATCCAACAACTATGTTCAGTTATGGTTCTTCTTTCTTGGTGAACCTTAGAAACTTTTGAACGACATTCGTATATCTCTATTATATAAAAGAAATTCTATCTAAAAATATTTTCTGGCTTTAAACAACCTGGTTTGATGTATGTATAGCTGGTCACTCGTATTCGAGGATACCCGACTAAAAGGGCGGCTAGCCAATCCCTATTGCAGACGCTTGCTCAGGCACATGCATGTTTATTCAACACCCACAGATCCCATCTGTGGTTTATACTGCAACAACGCTGAGTAGAACTTAGTTTTTGGGAGAGAGCGTGTTATTTAGCGTGATCAGTAATTTGAACACGGTCAGCACGCTCAAGCCCTCGGCCACGATGACTTTAGATTTTGTTCCTAGCACAGCTCACAAGTGACAACCTGTGGTTTCAGGCACTTTCTAAAGTCGCCCCCCCACGCCAGTCATCAAGGAAGTCTCCTTCCTGAAAAATCGACCATGGTGAGATTTGAACCCGGATCCCATACGAACTTTCTAACTACTGTGTCACGTGCCTAAATGGTTGGAAAAGCCTTTGGAAACGAAAAGATCAATTATTTTTTACTCTGTCGGTATTAATTCGACAAAGTTAAGGAAAGAAGCTACTGTGAAATTTAAAAAAATATTGTTTAGAACTTTAAATAACTTGAAAGTAATTAGTATTAGTGAAATCTATTATCTCATGGTGGGCGATTAAGCGGGCACCTTCCCTCCAAATACTTTTGATGAGAACGGAGAACTGATTACGGTTTCAATTCCCAATGAAACAATTTGCATTTCCAATTCAATTTCAAGAGTGTTTTCACCATTTCAAAGAAATGTGTAAACTTATAAAGAAAGAATGGCTTTCATCAGAAGGGGTTTGCAAACCTGTAGAATGAAAATTATAACAATTTCTTTGTTGTCATTTTTTCTCCCTCTGTATTACTTGAAGTTGATAGTGTCCAAAAGTATCTACGCGGACTTGTGGGCGATGAATTATTTTCCCCCTTTTCCCGCGGACAAAATTCCTTTCCTGCAGACGCCTCATGCCTCTTGCTGCTTCACCACTAGGCTTGTGCTCTAACTAGCTATATTCCTTAGTCCAACCTCCCCTAAACTTTATAATTGTGACTCGCCAAGCCGCATACACAAGAGTAAATCATCTCCATTCAATTTTTATTAGTCATGATTAAGTTCCATTCTTCTTCCCAAGATCGGCTGCTTTGTGGAACAGACTCCCGACAGGTCGATTTCACAATCGCAAACTTGGCTTATTCTAGTCTAAGGTTAAAAGTTATCTTTCATATGATCCCATGAACTTTAATTTTGTCTTTTGTCACGCAACTGTCTACTTTGAGTGGCTCTTGAACCTTGTATTGGGTGGACAATAGTAAAAAAAAAACTCTTTATGTTGCTTAATTATTTAAAGTAGCTCTGCAATTATGAAATTATTAACTGTGAGTTCGATCCTCACTAGATCAATCAGTTATGCGCTATGCTTGATACACGCTTAGGCGATCATGTAACTTTCGATACATGACTGACGAAGCAGATTTTTCCCGCAGTAGTTTGCCATTTTTTCTATTCAAGGCTATAGAACCCGGTCTGTCCTGCTATTTACCCATAGTGAAGAGGACGATTCATACCTTTCCCAAGGATATTAGCACGTAACTCTGAGCCTTATCCCTTAACCCACCATGCCTCCATCATTAGATACAGAGTAATAAGTAAAGTTTAATTTTCTGGATCACAATTAAAGAAAGGCTGCCAAGTGTAACGTTATTAAGGAAATATCCAAAGAAAAATGAAGAATCTGGAAGCATTTTCTGATGATGAGCATGTGTGTATTTCGAAATAACTTTTTTTAATGCAAGCTACATCTAGGTCAAAATAAGTATTTTGGACGCCGACGAAGGTATAATCATACTTATTATAAAGCCCGGATTGTGTGTGTGTGTGTGTGTGTGTGTGTCTGTACGTTTATATATTGGATCGGATTTCCTACATTTTTCAACCGATTTCAACAAAACTTCAGAGGACTACGTAAAATTACTTTGCGGTAGTTCTGACAGCGCCAAAAATGGGAAAAACACAATTGTTTTTGCACGAAATCAATTTGAAAACACGATTAAGAGGCATCACGAGAATGAAAGGGGGACAACTCATATCGAGTTATACTTATTATAAAACCCATGTTGTTTCTGTGTGTGTGTGTGTGTTCGTTTATATATGGGATCGGATTTCCTATATTTTTCAACCGATTTCAACAAAACTTTCTTATTGTTTTGCACACTTTTTTCTTTATTTTTACATTCAGAATGCTTTAAAAATTCCATTTACAAGACAATTGTTTATAATAAAATTCTATTCAATCGGTAGACTCATAACGATTGAAAACAATGTTTTTTGTTTGAGTTTGGGTTTGACCAATTCGTAAAAAACAAAAACAAAAAATTCGTAAAAAACAAAAACAAAAAAAAACTAATTAAGACATGCGTGTCCGTCAACCTTAAACAATAATCTTTGTCAATTTTATTTTTCAGTCTTTATGATGGTCGATACTTACTGTTATATCCTCGGGCAACGCCGGGCTCTCTTGATAGTATTTAATACAAAGAGGAAAAATACTTAGAGACAATGATTTCCATTTGTGTATGTGTGTGTGGGGGGTGTTCTCCCTGGAGTAAACTTGTTTTTTCTTGGCTTTATGATATCAATTAATTTTTGACATGCTGTTAACGGGATTGTCTTGCCATATCACAGTTCCAAGTAATTTCCTCCTCTTTCAGTCCCCTTTGCTACAAGTTGATAATATCGAGAGGTGATAAGGTCATCGC